TCAGCAGGTGACCGTGGTACCGAGCATAAGAGAAAATAGCCTGTGTGCGAGGTTGGGCTTAGGCAATGTTTATTTTTAAAATTACTTCGCCAATGAACTCATAAGATGGGTCGCATCCAATCTTTATCTGATATACAAACTCTCGCCTTCGGCTCGAGTTTGTATATCAGACAAAGGTCGGATGCTCATGTTTTAGCTAGTATTTAAGGGATACACTATTGCGATATGGCAAAATTAAACAACGACAGGAAGAACAGATATATATATATATATATATATATATATATATATATATATATATATATATATATATATATATATATATATATATATATATATATATACCTCATATAAAACTATAGCTTTCATGGAAATCCGCGACTATTATATGTCCGTGTGAAATGAGTGTAAAAATGCAATATATTTATATCCAGTATCGCTATAATCAATGATTTTTTGTATTTTATCGCTTTTGTAGATACTTCGCACAGAAAGATATTTAATTGATGGCCTAGATTTTGCACCACGATGGCAGTGAAACCATTTTCCAAAGAACAATTGAATTTCTTTAAGTTTTCTACACTTCTTGATGAGTTTCCCAAGGTGTTGCGTCAAATTTTTATCACCATGTGGGACAGCAAGGTTGCTGTAAGACCAGGATTCATTCCATGGGATGACAGTATCACGGTACGGAACATGCTTCTTAAATCTGAAGGTGGTAAAACAGATATACCAACTACGAAATCAATTGAGGAGTGGGACTGCACAGCTTTGTTTAAAGCAACAATCTATGCCAAAACATTTGGTGTTCCAGGCAGCAAGGGGTCAACTTTGAATGATTTATATTTGAAGAAAGTTAAACCACCTCCTGGTTCTTTTCATCTATCAGTTCAAAGTTCAACAGGAAATCAAGATGAGACCTACGCCTTGGCAATTGATCAACTTCGATTATTAAGAAACACTCTTTGCCATTCACCCAAACCTGAAATATTTAAAACTAATTTTGATAACTGTGTACAATTGGTAACCGACGCTTTAACAGCAGTCAATGTTGATACTGCTGTTGTTGATACTATTGGTCAAATGAGCGAGGATGATTTCCCTACAGAGAAAGTTCAAGAATTACACGAATGTCTTTTGAATGAGTTACGAGCCAACAGTGTGTTTCATGAAAATATGGGGCAGAAGTTGTCCTCTATTGATCAGCGAACAGAGAATGTGCAGGAGAAATTGTCTTTTATTGATGAACGAACAGATAAAATTCATGCAATGATGAAACATAGGGGTTTTGGAGAAAAGCGAAATCTACCAGGTAACGTTACTTATTCAATATATATGCAGTGTATATATAGAGATTACTGCATGATTGGTGAGCGTGTACGATTTTTATGCACGAATTGTGAAAGATTGCGGAAGCAAAATATTCAAGTCTTAAAACAGTTCTTTACAGTTTATTTCTTCATTATTTGGCTTGCCCTTCTCATTTCATTTGCAAATACCTGTCAAAATCAATTTGCTGCTGTTTTCGTTTCAAAATTGTCGGGGGGTTTTATTGAAATGAACAAAATATATTTTTGCGCTACGCCAAACTTAAATGTGCGCGCCATGTTTCTATAAAATTTGAGATCAAACGCTTATACTGTACTTCATTTCCTCACTAGTGGCAAAAACCGTATAACCAATCAAAACGATTATATGATTCGTCTGTCGTGAAATACGTCACCCGTCTACTGTTCGAGACTTGCGTACCTGTATGACTGTAAAATCTGTGAATAGGTAGACTTTGTCTCGTTTGGTTTGCTAATTTGCATATATAAACACTAAAACACTGTTTTTAAATACGTAAATACATTCGTATAGATACCATAAACAAGCCATACTTTCGTAATATTTTCGTATCATGTTTTCTCCCTTCGCCCGCTGTACATATTGTACCGCATGTAACGGTTTTGTAAATACGCGCGAAAATTACAATAAGAAATAGAGGGGAGTGAAACTGTGGGCACGTGATCAATATTAACCAATAGCATTTGGGGATTTGAGAACCTTTCTCCAAGGTTTGTAGCAAAACCAAACGCTTACAAACAGATTAGAGTCGACTGTAAAAGCCTACCAAAAACTGATTTGTTCACAATTCGTAAACTTTTCAACTCTGATTACTTTTTAAATGTATTATATTGCTTCTACAGTACTTCGAGAATATTTCCCATAGCATGTTCGAGAGTGGTAATAATATAAATTTTGTCATTATTTATATTAATGTTGTTAGTTGTGAATTATGATTTTTCTGTACGTATATTAGTTATATTAAACACAAATATTCCCGTTTTAGTATATCGTATGCTGGTTTTACTTGGATAATTTCACATTAGAATATTTAAAAATGGCTGTAATGTTACAAAGTAACACAAAATATAACAAAATCATGTCGAAATTCGACCCCATTGTTTAGCAACCTCGTACCCAGGGCTAGCCGCGAATTGAAGGCGGCGGCATAGCCCTGGTAAACGCTGGTCACGTGACTCCAACATTACGTAATTGTTACTTTTCTCAACCGGTGGGTGAATGCTACTGGTGAAACTCGATGACAAACAGTTTTTATCTCCGAAATTCTTCAATCTTCCCTGTGAATTTTGCATTTCAAGCTTTTCTCAAAGTACGGCGATCGATCAAATGGATCAATACTTTCTGTAGAAAAAACTCAGTGAGATTTGTTCGTATGAGACGTTTAAAAGACTTGGATATGTCGCTCAAGACGCTCGATCATTTGCACAGGTTTATGGTTTAGTACTTTGTTCAGTTTGTTGCGACTTGCGAAGCAAATGAATGCAAATTCAGCTCTTGTATAATGACTAAAAGTTTGTTTGTAGAGGGACAACTCAGTATACAAAATATATGAATACTTGAGCTTCAAACTAGGGACAAGTTCATGGACATCCCTAATATATGGACATTGATATTTCACCAATATGTAAATATGAAGTCATTAAATATATAGAAGGATTGCTATTGTATATGTACAAGTGTTGTGCTGTGCTGTTTACGTTTTTAACCCTTTAAGTGGCAATGCACCATACTTTGTTAGTTTACTCTGCCTAACGCCAGACAAGTTTACTCGTCAGGTGGACAGTGAATGCAGCCACTCAATGGGTTAACATAGTCGATGAACATGCCAATGATCCTTGACCGTGGTAGTGCATATTTGCACTTGCTAGATGATATCGCAACCAAGCATTGTTTCAGACGAAGAGCCCTGAGATCATGCTGTGTAGCAATTGGAATCTCGTATAGAGCCTGCTCTCGCATAAAGCAGGCAAGGTCGACCTTCACTCAGAGGCCAGGATTAATATTAATTCCCCACATAAACACTTGGAAACCGGACTGTCCCATCTGCTATATGCAGCACAAAAAAAAAACATGCAGCCTGAACTTTAACTGTTAAACAACCAAATCAACATGATAAATCTGTAAACAGTGTGATAATTTTTGCTTAGCCCAAACCAAAGCCAGTTTTCTAGAATTAATTTGCAGAATCCTAAGAATTAGACCTCCAACTTGAAGAGCTGGCTGTGCTGACCAAGTTGCATGGGCAACCCTGAATTGAAGTGACTAGAGCAAATCTTCAAAAAATAATAGAGAGATCAGATTTGACTTCCACTACTGCTATTGCTATCATTAACTATTATTAACCAGATAAGTTTCATTTATCCAATGAAACAATTGGATGCAACTGCCAGATCAAGTAGTGGTAGTGGAAGTCAAATTTGAACCTTTCTCTATGGATTTCAGAGAGACCAGTCATTATTTGCTGATATACTATTATAACTTGTATAATCAATAGCTACAGTATACTATATATTCATTTATGATATTGAAAATTGATATATAATTATCTATAAAGTGAGAATAATTTTTAAAAAATATTCATAACATAAAATGATTCATGCATGCTGGTTATTGAATAAACCATGGAGTGTGCATTCTGAATCTCTACAAATTCCTTGACATTATTTTTCCAGTACAGTGTAAAACTATATAAATGTGACACAGGTTGCATGTCCATCAGTGTGCTGAAATACCATCCAGTGGCCCGGTCTTTCATTGTTACTTACATCTTGCTTAATTAAACTGTTTTTGCCCCATTTCTTGTACCCATAAAGTTCTTTTCAATAATCTAGAAAACTTCAAAATCATTCAGTAAATTTAATTTAAAAATTTGGTGGAAGGGGTCAATAGATGAAGAAATCATTTCTTCTTGTTCATACATATGGCTGCCATCTCTAGAGTAGAAATTTATTGCAGCCTTCAGAAAATAATTATGGCAACAATATTACACGTCATACTGCAGAGTTAGGCAATTTTTTTAAGATCTCAAGGGCGCAAAATGTATAAATGTAGGGGCAAGGGAACAAAATAATGAAATTTTGAGATTCGGGGGCAGGTTTTATGATGGGGTGCTGAACCTTTTCCCTAAAAAATCCCTGACCAGCAGGAGTTGTCATGGATATTAAAAATACTCATTAACTCACTAACATTAAATAATGCTGACGAAATGCTGAAACTGTTGTTTGACTATTGAAATATCCTAGAAGGTTAGGTTGATCGGATTTTAGCTTTGTCAACCTGGCCACTCTGTTATCAGGTCATTGAATATAAAAACAAAGTATTTGAAGTTAATACTGCTGTAAAGTGTAAACTGTAGTTTAATAATACTTTAAGTGTAAACACGTTTCTCGCAGCGATAAATCAATATTTTAAATAATAATCATGTGAGAGTAGAACTTTACTGAGAATCTGAGTATAGTATTATAGACCATAGTCTGGCCATGTGTTTCTCAATATTTAAACTACAAATTCAGCTAACTATATTAACATACTGTATCAAATATATTAAATAGCCTTCGAAATATGTATTTCATAGAGCTAGTCAGTGTAACAAATAATGGGAATCTGCTAAATAATTTGTAACAATAAAATACTTCTAAACATTTTATAATTCATACTGTACCTTTTACTTGATGGAAATCATCACAAATTTATAGTATGTACGAGGTTGGCTCCATTTTCCTTCGAAAATATTCGAAAAATCGCCTCCTCGGAGATTTATATGATGCGAATTAAAGAAGATTCATGTACATTCGACGTATATATAAACGTAACATGTTAAAAGAAAAATTACAACAAAAAATAAAAGAATATAAATAATCCACGGCAATTCAAGTTCTATTCGTGAACTTTTCGTCGCCCCCCTGTCTTTATTTCCATAAAGCCCGCTCGCAGGCTAATACTTCAAAAATCTTGGAGTATTTGCCTGACACGTGACCAGCGTTTACAAGGGCCTCGCCCGCTTTGGCGGCCATATCAAAAAATCGGGCGGGCAGG